GTGACAGGCTCCCTGGAGAGCAGCTCTCCAAATTCAACAGCTTTTGTGTCCCAGAAATTTTAATCAGTTTGGTGACGCTGTGTACCCCTTCTTGGATGCCATCTAGTTCTTTCTGGAGGTCACGGACGAGGCTGGCATCTGGTAGCTTAGCCACAGGTAAAGATCCAAGACGTCGTGGACAGCTTCAAGATCCATGAGCTCTTTAATATTCTTAGGCGGAAGTAAAGGCCATTTGATGTATTTGCGTAACCAAGCAAAGGTCAGGGGCTCATTCTTGCTGAACTGCCTGGCAAACTGTAACAGAGACGAGCAGACAAAAGGCTGCTTCTTGTTGATAGGGGCTGTGCAGAACACATACCTCACTCACAGACTTAGTGGAATATGTTGTATCAACTCTGCAGAAAATTTAAAATCATCCATATTGCAGACAAAATACTGCCCATCAACTTGTGAAAAGTCAACAAAAATATCAATGAGGTTGGATGTGTGTGGGGAGCAACTCGCACTAGACTAAGTTACTGGAATTAAGACTTATTCTTTGCATCTGCTCTCCCACAATATGGCGCTGGGAGAGGAGTAAACAACTTCTACACAGCTGCCTCCAGTTCGACCAATAACCTGCAGGAGCTGATCCTGCTCCTGATTGGAGGAGAGCAGCGTACTCGGCGTGTGGGTAGCAGAGTTGGGATTGGTGGAAGAGGACTATAAAGGAGGAGAGAGACAACATGCACGAGGAACATCTAAAGGGAACATCCGGATAACATCTGAGCAGCCCCCGAGAGAGCCGGCCGGCGGTGTGCCACTCCCCCGCGGAAGTGGGGAAAGTGGCAGGGGGAGCCGCCCTTCCACGGAGGTGGAAGGATCGGCAGCCAACCTGGGAAGAACCAGCAGCAAACCCGGGAAGGGCCGAGCAGACAAAAGAACAGTGCAGGGTCCTGTGTCGTTCCTCCATGAAGAGGGGGAGTGACAGATGTGTGTTGCACATCTTCAGGTATCACTTGTAAGGCTGGACAAGTGCTGAAAAATTTGATTTCTATTTGTTTAGAAGGTCTTTATTTCATCTTCATTTATAAATGAGAGCTTTGCAGGGTAACAGTATTCTGGATTGACAGTTTTTTTCTTGTAGGACTTGGACTATGTCTCTCCATTCTGTCTTAACCTGTAAGGTTTCTGATGAGAAATGAGCTGTCAAGTCTATTTGAAGATCCTCTGAAGGTAGTCTGACATTTTTTTCTCATGCACATTTTAGCATCTTTTATGTTTTACTGTTAAAAGTTTGACTATAGTGTGTCTTGGTTCAACAGAAATCCAAACAATAGTAATATGTATGGAAAAATAGGCCCAAGTCATTTCTTAACAATAAGGTTGAATGTAAATGGCCTAAATCGTCCAGTTACAAGTTACAGACTAGCTAAATGTATTAAAAAACAAAACCCATCCATTTGATGCCTGTAAGAAGCACACCCTACCAACAAAAATACACACAGACTGAAAGTGAAAGGATGGAAAAGATATTCCATGGTAATGGAAAGCAAAAATGAGCAGGTGTAGTCATCCTAATATCTGATAAACTAGACTAACACAAAAACTGTTCAAAGAGACAAAGAAGGGCACTATGTAGTGATTAAGAGATAAATCCAACAAGAAAATGTGACTATGGTACATGTATATGCACCCATGTTGGGTACCTGGATATTTAAAACAAATGTTAATCAATATAAAGGGAGACATAGACTCCAATACTATAGTAATGGGGGACTTCAACATCCCACTTTCATTGATGGACAGACCAAACTAGACAAAAAGGCAACAAAGAAACAACAGAGATAATCTGCGCTATAGAACAAATAGACTTAATTTATATTTACAGAACATTTCATCACAAAGTGGAAGAATACATATTATTTTCATCAGTGCATTTAGCTTTCTCTAGGATAGACCATTTGCTAGGCCATAAAGCAAGTATCAAAAAATTCAATAAAACTGAAATCATACCATGTATCTTTTCTGACCACAACGGAATGAAACTGCAAATTAACAACTTAAGAAATTCCAGAAAATATGCAAACACATGGATATTGAACAACATGCTGCAGAACAAATAACAGATCATAGAAGAAATGAAAAATAAAAAAATTCCTGGAAGTGAATGAAGATGACAACACTATATAACAAAACTTATAGATACAGATATAAGAGAGAGGTTCATAGCAATTAATGCCTACATCAAGAAATTGGAAAGGCATCAAATGAATGAGCTACCAATGTATCTGAAGGATCTAGAAAAACAACAACAAACTCCAAATTAGTAGGAGGAAAAAATAATTAGAATTAGAGAATAAACAAAATTGAAACCAAAAAAGATATAAAAGATCAGTGAAATGAAGAGTTAGCTATTTGAAACAAACAAAATTGATACACTATTAGCCCAACTAACCAAAAAAAAAAAAAAAGAGGGAAAAAGCCCAAATCAATAAAATCAGAGGTGAACATGGAAATGTAACAATAATTACCATGGAAATAAAAAGAATCATCAGTGGCCAGTGCCATGGCTCACTTAGCTAATCCTCCACCTGCGGTGCTGGCACCCTGGGTTCTAGTCCCAGTTGGGGCACCGGATTCTGTCCCGCTTGTTCCTCTTCCAGTCCAGCTCTCTGCTGTGGCCCGGGAAGGCAGTGGAGGATGGCCCAAGTGCTTGGGCTCTGCACCTGCATGGGAGACCAGGGGAAGCACCTGGCTCCTGGCTTTGGATTGGCGCAGCACACAGGCCATAGCAGCCATTTATGGGGTGAACCAACAGAGGAAAGACCTTTCTCTCTGTCTCTCTCTCTCACACTAACTCTGCCTGTCAAAAAAAAAAAATCATCAGCAACTACTACAAACAGCTATATGCCAACTAATTGGAAAATCTAGAAGAAACAGATAGATTTCTGGACATATACAACCTACAAAAAGTGAGTCATGAATACATAGAAAATAGACCAATAACCAAGATGGAGACTGAATTAGTAATAAAGATCTTCCCAACAAAGAAAAGCCCAGGACCAGATGGCCTCCCTGCTGAATTCTACCAAACTTAAAGGAGAACTGATTCCAATTCTTCTCAAATATTCAAAACAACTGAGAGGGAGGGAATCCTCCCAAACTCCTTCTATGAAGCCAGTATCACCTTAATTTCTAAACCTGAAAATAGTACAACAGAGAAAGACAACTATAGACCAGTATACCTGATTCTCAAGAAAATATTAGCTAATGGAGTACAACACCACAACAGAAAAGTCATTTACCTTGATCAGCTGGGATTTATCCCTGGTATGCAGGGATGGTTCAACAAATGCAAATTAATAAATGTGATGTATTACATTACCAAATTGAAGAATAAAAACCATTTGATTACCTAAGCAGATGCAGAGAAAGAATCTGATAAAATACAACATCCTTTCATGATAAAAACCTTAAGAAAATTGGGTATAGAAAGAACATTCCTAACACAATCAAGGCAATATATAATAAACCCACAGCCAGCATTATATTGAATGGGGAAAAACTGGAAGTATTTCCACTAAGATCCAGAACCAGACAAGGATGCTCACTCTCACCATTGTTATTCAGTATAGTTCTAGAAGCTGTAGCCAGAGCCATTAGGTAAGAAAAAGAAATAAAAAGGATACAAATCAGAAGGGAGAAGTCAAATTATCCCTGTTTGCAGATGACATGATCCAATATATAGTGGAACCAAAAGACTCCACCAAGACACTATATCAGAACTCATAAGAGAGGCTATTGGAACTGATAAGAGGCTATTGGAACTGATAAAGTTGCAGGATATAAAATTTACAAACAAAAATCATTAGTCTTTGTATACATACACAGTGGCATAGCTGAGAAAGAACTTGTAAGATCAGCCCCATTCATATAGCTAAAACAAAATTTAAATACCTTGGAATAAATTTAATAAATATCATGTAATGTATTGGAGTGAAACTGACATTCTGAAATTTGATTGTTTAGAGTCTTTGTCTATACTCTTGAGGAGTAGTGGTTTTTCTACTTACTACTTGATGACATCTTTATTTGATGAAGGGTTAAGCTTGTGATTATAAAACAAATTGAAAGTATATCATTGTAAAAATTAAAAACATAAGAAAGGAAGGAGGAGGGAGTATGGAACATCAGCAAGAGGGAGAATAGGGTAGGAAGTATCATGTTCTTAAGCGTGTATATATGAAATTCATGAAATTTTTTCACCTTATATATTTTTTAAGTTCATGGAAAATGGAATTAAAATATAATTTTATTTTTGTGCAATCAGTTTTTAAAAATCTAAACATAGTTTTTCCATAATAGAAATTCTCCTTGAATTTCTTGAAAAATCTTTGTAGTTCAGAGCTTATTTTCTTAACCTCTATATTATAATATGTTGGTTTTAGTTTCCTTATTTGTAAAATGAGAGAGTTGGATTAATTAAATTTATAAGATGTTATTTAAAAATTTTGTGCCATTTCTTACTTACTTGAAGTTAGATAGACTTTTATCCTGTTTGTAGGCTATTCTTACTGACATGATCCATTATGAATGCACAATTCTAACCCACAGGAAATATATTTATTAGTGTGGTCCCTAATTAAAATTAAGATTTCCTCAAAAAAGTCCATGAACTCCTTGTATTGCATACATAATTCCTGTATATACAGATATATTTCTTATTCTGGGGGAGGGTTTGTAATCTTTCAGAACATTCTCCAAGGGCAAAAACAAACAGTAAACCAAACAACAACACTAACTATTAAAATGAATGATTTTTTTTACATTTTCTCCCTCTTTATTTTTTCTGTGCATACCTGGAACCATACTAGAATTCAAAGCATTACAATAAAGAACATACATTCAAAACATGAGCTAGGAAAGGCATATTGTCTGATCTGATATTTTAGCTTTTAGACAACTCTCTCATTCTAACAATCATGTACAATATGTTATCATAAATATGCTTGACATACCTGTAGATTATCACACATTTCTTGGCTGTAGGTTAACCGCTGAATTTCAGTAGGAGAGACAAGGTATAATGCCTGTCCTTCATTGCTAAAACAAAATGTCCGTGCTATCCGCATGTCTGTCAGTGGTAAATAATTAACATCCAACATTGGTCGAAGACTAGGTAGGCTGAATGGAAAAAAGTAAACTTAAATTTCATATTAGAGTTGTAAGACACAGATCTTTACATAAAACAGCAATTACTTTATTATTATTTTATGGTTTTTTTATTAACTTGAAGGGTCAGTGGTAACAAACTGGACTTTCACATAAAATAAAAAAAATTGTGGAAATGGGCACATCGCTTGTATGTTAATCCCCACAGATGCTTAGCAAATGTCCTTAAAGGATTAAATGCAGTAGCCAGCAGTCTCAGGGACACTTTTTACAGCATTTCACAATATGATTATAGCTTCTAGTTATGTCAGAAACACCACAGCTACAAAATGTCTGACTGCACACTTAACTCTCTTTAAGATAAAAAGTTTGAGTTTTGAGGAGGTTACACCATGACAGAAGCATGGAGGGGGGCCAGTTCACTGTGCTTGGAAATGGAGTGGCTTGGGTTCCCTGTTCCTTACACCCTCTATACCTAAGAAATGAAAATTACATATAACTTAGGGCACCTGCACTGAAGGCATGGTTGATAAATAAATACAGCCACAGCCACAGCTGTAAGGGAATGAAAATAAGTTATAAATAATAGATCCAAAGTTGTACATCCAAATGAATACCAGACATCAGAAGTGTCTTATCCCGTAGCCATATACTTATCCTAATGTTATTGGTAGTAATTTTGCTAAAATATTCATCTGAATGCTCTTTTGGGTACCGTCATTAGAGCCAGTTTTACAACCACTGAAGAAAACCAGTGTCATTGCTTTTAAAAATCACACTTCTAATGTCAACGAGGATAAAGGCCCTTGTAATTAAACCTTAAATTTTGAAGCGATTTTACTGATTCTAACTGAGCACAATGATTGTAAATTATTCCAGCTCAAAAACTAGCACCTCAAAGAAAAAGTACTGATTTCTTTTATCAGAGTAGTTTGTGACTATAGCAAGCCCTAGAACTTTAGTATATAAAATGAAGCCTGAAACCTATGATATTTGAACAAGCTTTTCATGAGATTCTAGCACTGTGCTGGCCAACTTGGTAGCCACTAACCATGTCTGGCTATTTAGAGCAACTGCTTTGTGGCTAATCTGAAATGAGATGCATACATTACACACTGGGTTTTAAAGGCTTTTGTATGAAAAAAGAATTATCTATATCTGAAACATGTATTACTAATGATCTGTTAAAATACTTCAGGTAACTAAGATCCTTAACACATGAGTCCAAAACAAATCCAGTTAAACTTCTTTTGGTGAATTTTTCTGATTAGCTACATTTTGTGAAATATAAGAAAAGAAAAGAATGTGTCATCACTGCAGCTGGGAAGAGCAAAAGAGCAAATCAATTCCAAAGTCTAGGAAATGAATGCTTTTAAAATTGAAAAAAAAAAAAGATTCTTTTTCTATGTTGGGATACTTTTAAAAGAAATATAGTGAGGTTAACTAATGGTGGTTCTCACTAAAAGTAGCTGGTATATCCCTGTTGGAGAATTTGTACATAGAAAAACCTCTGTTATCCTCTGCTCTCCAACTTGGTTCTGGGTCTGCATACATCAGAGCTTAAGCAATTGTTAGCCACTTGCCATCTATCAGTAAACTAGGTCTTGAGGCGATTGTGCTCCAAACTGTTATATTCTAGAAATATGACAAGTGACTAGAAAATTCACTTACATAATTTCTATAATTGGTATTTGCATTCCCTTTGTATTATAATTACTTGTTTACCACTTTAATCTTAAGGGTTAGGATCATGTTTTACTATTTTTTATATCATTCACAGGTCTTCCCAATGCTTAACTGTCTCACTGATTTTGGAACTATGTGAGATTTTAAGAATAGCAGTGACTTCTACATAATATATGTTTTTAACTGCTTGCTGAATGCATAAAATCATAAGGTAATAATTTTCAAATCTCTCAAGTTTTGTCTCATTGCAGTAATGGTGGAATACAACTTCACAGCTTAAATCTTATTTTCCAAATGTCTTAAGACATTTAGTATACTGTTAGTTGCTGACTTCATTTCTTCCTAAAGTTATAACCTTAGGCAAATTTGTTAATTTTAATTTATTAATGGATTTTAAATGGAGGATGCAAGTAATACTGTATTTTCCTATGTTCTAAAGAAGATGTGGGTCAAATGAAATTCTGTATGTAAAAATCCTTGCATGGACTGTGAAACACAGTAACAGTTAAGTTCTTTTTCTTGTAGTTTACTCTAATTTTATGTGCCTACCATAACACCTGAGAGATTACATCTGCTCAATAAATGTTTGTTGAACAAATATGTGAGTGGCTGGAGAATCATTCTTTCCATATGTTCCTTGGTGTCAACTGAAATACATATTTCATTCACAATGTCAAACATTTTTAGCAAAGACAACACACACACACACAGACACACACACATATCCAAAAAACAAAAAAGTCAAACTCTCATCAAATTCATATCACACCACGTTCACAGATGTAATGAAACAATAATCTTAAGTTTCTTCTTAACCTCGTGTATGTAACACATATACTCTTTAGAATTGCACACCTTGCTGAAATTGCCATGATTACAAAAAATTTATAAAGAAGGCAAGTACCTCATTATCATGATATGCCCATTAGCACAAAAGCATGTCAGGCAAGCACTGTTACACATGACCACCACATTTGCCTGTAGTATAAAAGATGTCTCAGTGATGTTATGAACATAAAGGCAAGTCTGAGAAGGCAGTGAGAAGACTTTGGCTTGTTTTTCCGAGCATATTATTGCATACTGATGATCTCCTATTTCTTGGGATACAGAGGAAGAGTTCATGACCAGTTTCCTTCTCCAAGATTTTTCATTTTCATCTATGTTGTTTGGATCCCTCCAAACTTCATATGGTGGTTGCATTAGTCCGCCAGTTCGGTCCATACAAGAGAATGTTAGCACAGCTCCTTTTAATGAGAGGAATGTACCTATAAGAACAATTTCCATCATTGGCATGTGAAATTCTTTTGAAAACAGCTGCTACTTATCTATGAGCAATAAATGCTATACATTATGATAATTTAAATTTGTAGTCTCATAATATTGTAGTAAAGTATACAAATAAGTATATTTGTGAGTATACTTGTTTCAATAACTTTTAGTATATTAGGCCTTAAAAGAGCCTAATACACTAATTTATTAAATCCCCTCATTAGTGAGTAAACAAGACCTTGAAAGATGATAAGATTTATGTCGTCACTTAGCAAGTTAATGGTTAATTCTGGACTAGAATTCAGATTTCCTGATTACTAACTCAGGTTTCTTTCATGTACTCTATAGTAGCCATTAAAATTGTTTTTTACAAAGCAAATTTAATATAATGTATAACTTTCATTTAATAACAAATTCAGCTGAAAATGATCACATAATCTGATTGTATTTTATTATTTCTTAGGTTTATTTGCTAGAAAAAGTTGTTCTCTAATGAAACTGAACACTTGGAATAAATTTCTTGAAATTTCAATATGTAGAATTTATGCTAGTAATTTTAATTCTACGAAAATGACAAAAACAATACTGTCAGCTCTTGGGCAGGCTTATGCGTCTTTATATAGAAAAGGGGCTTACTCACTTAGATTTTCCAAGATTGACTATTCTGCCAGATCATTACCAATGAAATATTTTTTGCCAGACTTGGAGGACAGTATACTACAAAGCTTAGGAAGTAACTTGGGCTATATTGATCTGTGGATATTTCCAGACTCTGATTTAAGGAGCACCCCAGTAGCCCTCTTTTATTCTTTATCCATTTATATCATGTTGAGAGATCATGAGTATTATCCCAGGCTGATAGGCCTCAATAGATGTGAAAAGTGAAGAATGACAGATAAAAATACATTGCATTTAGAATGTAGTTTACCTATATTTTAAAGTACTTAAAGCTTATCAAATTCAAAATATATATTTGGATGATGTAACATTTAAGTTGTATTTTAAAATCCATTTTAAAAGTAAGAAATCTGTGACTCTCTTACAAGAGTGAATGAAGAGGATACAGGAATAGAAGTCCAAGGGTCAAAATACAAAAACAAAACAAAACCGAAAAAAGTGACCCAACACTGTGTGTAAAAAATAATGCCAAAAGCTATGAAGAATGTTTTAGTTAGAATCTATATGGAATTGATAATGCTGTCTGACTATGTAGTATCTACTTTTTCTCATTAAACTTTGTTTTAATGGGTCTCAAAATTCTGTGACAGATTTTTGTTCAAGTTGTTTCCATTAAAAAGTACTACTTGTTAACAATAATTTTGCAGTTCTATTCACTGTATCTGGAGCATAACAACCTTCCCTTAATTTAGAAATAACTTAAATCTTGAGACATGTTGTGTTGAATGGCATTGAGAGCTCTGTGTGGGTCACTGCTCAAGAAATGGGACCTTTGCACTTTATACAGCTTATCAGTGCTATTGCTGACATCAAGTCATCGGAACAACAATTCTATAGAAAGTCTATTTAGAATTTTTAGTGTGATGTTGAAGTGTGTTGTAATGCTACTTTTAGTTTTTTAATGATCTGAGTTGATATACAGTGAGCTGTATCCACTGAAAATATGCATTTAAAGACTTTTGAAGAGTATACACAGACTCATGAACCTACCACTGATGAGAAAACATGGAACATTTCCCTGAGACATCAGCTCCTTGCTCCACCCTGACTCAAGGCAAGCACTGATCAGCTTTCTGTTACTAAATTGCATGTTTACAAATGGAACTGCATGGGAGTACTTTAAAAAATTTAAGGAAAAAAGAATGAAAAGTTTAATTTGGTGCAAAAAATAGAAATTCAAGTATAGTGTTTAATAATATACATTGAAAATTTCTTGAATGGCATACTTTTTAAATCACATTTAGATGTTAAGTTTTGTAATTGCTAATAAAATATGTATTTTTTGGGAAAAAAATGTACTGATTTTAAAAGCTAGTAATTTAAAACTGCCATGCACAAAATACCAAAACATTCTCCTTTCCTTCCGAAGGTTTTACAGTGCACTGTTATCATTAACCAGTCTTTTGCTATTAAAGTTAAATGGCGGCCGGCGCCGCGGCTCACTAGGCTAATCCTCCGCCTTGCGGCGCCAGCACACTGGGTTCTAGTCCCGGTCGGGGCGCCGGATTCTGTCCTGGTTGCCCCTCTTCCAGGCCAGCTCTCTGCTGTGGCCCAGGAGTGCAGTGGAGGATGGCCCAAGTGCTTGGGCCCTGCACCCCATGGGAGACCAGGATAAGTACCTGGCTCCTGCCATCAGATCAGCGCGGTGCGCCGGCCGCAGCGTGCTGGCTGCGGCGGCCATTGGAGGGTGAACCAATGGCAAAGGAAGACCTTTCTCTCTGTCTCTCTCTCTCACTGTCCACTCTGCCTGTCAAAAAAAAAAAAAAAAAAAAAAAAAAAGTTAAATGGCCAATTGAGACACTGGAAACATGGTGGGCTCGATGGGCTAAGGTTCTAGTGGGGATTAAGAATTGTTAAAGTTAGTAATTAAAGCCTGAAGGAGTCTCAGCTGAACTATTTACATTCCCTTTCCCTTATATACATTTTTGAAACCTTACTTTTCTCTCAACTTCCATGGGCCTTCTCAATAACTAGAATGTAAGTTCTTTGTATATGGAAACTTAGTATGATTGTATGACTTGTTTATTACTTTTTCTTCAGTGTGTATTAGTATAACTGTTTGGACAGTGTTCCTAATGTTGGCTTTGACAAGAGTTATTAATCTTTACTTGCCTTTTTCCTATCTAACTCATAGTCACTTAAGGTGTACTAGATACTGTTAGAAGCAGAGCTAGATTTGTTAAGAAACCAAGAGAGCTTAAGCTTTATTGCTGGACTGGAAGTGAAACAGCCAGGACATGAACTGGCACCCATATGGGATGCTGGCACTGCAGGTGGTGGCTTTACCTACTATGCCACAGCACCGACCCCGAATACAACTTCCTACTACATATCATTGAACAGATAAGGAAAAAGCTTCCAAGTATTTACAAACCAGTTCAAGAGTTTAATTCTACACTTATTTTGAATTTTGTTATCATTTATTGTCTGTTTGTTTGCTAGGAATATCAAACAACTTCTCTATGATATTGAAAGATCTATTTTATTAGTTCTGGTGATTATTATTTCTATACCATGACACAGAAAATCACAGTGGTAGAATATTCATTAGCAATTTGTCTTTAAATTATGATTTTAAATTTATGTGCCACAGAAATTGATTTAACCTTTAAACTTATGAGGAATGCCTGGCACATTATCAGGTATCCAGTACATATAATCGGGTACTGATTTAAAGAACAGGTTAAATTAATAATGAAAAAGCCATAACTGGCGCCAGTGCTGTGGCATAGTGGGTGAAGCTACCACTTGTGATGCCAGAATCCCATATGGGTGTTGATTTGAGTCCCAGTTGCTCTGCTTCTGATACAGCTTCCTGCTATTGTGCCCAGGAAAGCAGCGGAAGATGGCCCAAGTGGTTGGGGCTCTGCACTGATGTGGGAGACCTGGAAGTAGCTCCTGGCTCCTGGCTTCATACTGACCCAGCTCTGGCCATTGTAGCCACCTGGGGAGTGAACCAGCTGATGGAAGATCTCTCTCTCTCTCTCTCCTTGTCTCTCCCTCTCTGTAACTCTGCCTTTCACTTAAATAAATAAATCCTTTATTAAAAAATAAAAATATAAAGCCATAATCTCATTCTTTTGGCTCAGTACAAAAGTATTGTGTATATTTCCTTCAAATTAGTTAATAAAGGAATTTTTCTCACTGTGAAATAAATGAGAATGTTTAAAATAAATGATATTAACAGATTAGCTTTTTAAATACATTGCACCTATCTGAATTTGCCAAACTTCTGTCTCTTCCTCCTAAACTCTGTCTATATGAAACTGGCACACTAGTTAACCAGGAAAGCACAACTCTAACCTGCCATACCATGTACATTATTTTAAAATAAAATCCATCATCCTATATATCATTGAATTTTTAACTTAAAAATTTGGAAAATATTTATTGTGAAGACAGTACAGTAAAATTAGTGATAAGAACACATTTCAAAATGGAAGGAAATGGAGATCATTATGCTAAGTTAAATAATTTAGATCAAGAAAGACAAATATCACATTTTCTATTATTTGTGGAAGTTAAAATAAACAGAGTATAAAAAAATTCAAAGAATAACAGGAAGACTCACACTTATCCATTCTCTAAAAGGTGGGACAGGGGGAGATAATTCAAGGAGGAAGAGAACATAACATATGATTTAGAGCAACATCACTTATAACTTAGGTCAAATTCGCTAGGCATCAGAGTAAAAAGAAAAGAATTGTGTGGCATGCCTTTGTAACAAGATGGGAAGATTATAAAATATGTTAGAAATTTACCTTAGGTCAGACAGCTTCTAATTTAAGGATTCTTTCTTCAACAATGACAAAAATATTCATATGCTCTGATCTGGCATAGAACTTTGGAAAATGTTTCAATTTATTAAAAATAAATTTAATTTTTACATTAAAGTCTCCTTCAGCGCTTTTTGTAAACATATTTCCTAAGGCATTGGTTAGGTTGGCAGTGCCATAGTTTACTATCATAGGAATGGTTGTACTCTTTTACACTGAAGGAAAGGTAGGTTACCATATGGCAAATGTTAGGACAGTGTATGATTAATGAAATTCTGGATAGCTTCTATTATAAAAAATAGTTTTATTCCTTTGTCCCAAATCAATATAAATCATTTTTTACCATACTTTATATATAAAATTGAAAAATTAATGATGAAGGAATAAATGTAAAATATTCTTACCACTTGGTAGTACCATGACCGGCTCTGTAAACCTTTGTTCATCTGCTAATGGTAGATTTAGGGAGATGATTAACACCATTCCCAGACTAGTTCCAACAAACAGACAAGGAGAGATGGTAGAATCATTTTTCCGTGCAAAGGATTCCATGAAATATAGTGCTGTAATGGCTTCTTTAGAATCTTTGTCAATACTGGAGATACTAGAGCTTCTGGAACGATTATAGGAATTCTCACGGGTTTCTATGGAAATTAAAAAAATTAAGGGTTAGTATATTTTTTACAATGAATCAAATCAGACTTGATACATGAAAACCAAAATTATGAGAGGGAAGTAGAATTTTATTCTTTGTTAACTGACCTGGAAGGCAGTTTATCCAGTTCACCAGCGTTTTTGTTTGTTTGTTTGTTTGTTTTTGTTTTTGCTTTCAATATGGAGAGTCTAAAGTCCAGACATATAAATCATAAACTTAGGAAGAGTTAGGATTAAAATTTGAGTTTCCTGCGTTTCAGCTCATTATTTTTTCCCTCTCTACATTACTTCACATGTTCACTGAAATTCTTTAATTTGGAAAAATAATTTAGCCTAAATAGTCAAAATTGTAAGAATTTCTGACACTATTTTAATTGTACTTCCCTCCTATTTCTTAACTGTTGCAAGTATACTTAATGTTTTCTTGGCATTTCCCATTTACCAACAATATTGTAACCACCTACATGAAAGGCATTATCTGGACTGCAATCACTGTGACAAACACATAAATCTCTGGTAACTACATTTATAAAAATTGAAGGTATCAATAGCAAAATGCAAATATTATCTTCCAAATTGCCTACTTTGAATCCAAATCCAATTTTACTTTGCCTATGGCCAAATAGGGAGTTTTGGACTATGCTATCCTGTATGTATAAGTAATCTTTCTGAGAGGCCTTTAGCCCACTTAAAGGAAATTGACTTTTTGTTCTGTTGCTCATCTTGCATGTGTGCACATTCTAACAAACATAAACTCACCCATTTAGTTAAATATTAGTGGGCTGTACTGTTCTTATAATCTCTCCAGAGTATGTTTCTTATATTTTTCTTTTGATTGACATAATTCTCCTTTTCCTCTTGATAGGTACAAATGTGACTCATAATCATTTTCTTGCTATAAGAGACTAAATATATGTTCATAAGACTACTCTTTTTTCAGGAAAAAAATACAGAATTTTTGGCATGGACATCTGGCTTTGCAGTTAAAATGCCAGTTGGGATGCCCACGACTCACACTGAAATATTTGGGTTTGATTTCTTGCTCTGGTTTCCTGATTCCAGCTTCTTGTTGATGCTGACTTTGGGAGGCAGTGGTCATGGTCAAGTAATTGAGTTCTTGCCAATCATTTGGAAGATCGTAGGTACCCAGTTTTGGCCTTCGCTAGGAGCCACTGTAGGCATCTGGGGTATGAATGAATAAATAGAAGCTCTGTCTCTCAAATAAATGAGTCATTTTAAAAATGTAACATTATTAATATCCCCTTTTTACTCATTATCAAACTTATTCATTTATTTACTTTTAAAGGTTTTATTTATTTATGTGAGAGGTAGAGTTATAGACAGAGAGAAAGAGACAGAGAGAAAGGTCTTCCATCCACTGGTTCACTTCCCAAATGGCCTCAACCGCTGGAACTGAGCCTATCTAGAGCCTGGAGCCTGGAGCCTGGAGCCTGGAGCCAGAGCTGCTTCTGGGTCCTCCCACATGAGTGAAGGGCTCAAGCATTTGGGCCATTTCTCACTGCTTTCTCAGGCCATAAGCAGAGAAGTTGATCAAAGAGCAGCCAGGACACAAACCAGTGCTCATGTGGGATGCTGGTGCCACAGGCAGAGATTTAGCCTACTACACTATTATAACATTTATAAAAATAATAATTTGTTATAAAATTTAGATATTACAGGAAGATATGAAATAATATATTTTAGATTTGAAGACAATCTTAAAGTTATTTTCCCAGAATCTAGTACAAATCAAAGGCAGAAATACCTAAAACTCAAAATTTCACACTTTTATTACACTGTTAAACATGTTATCTTTTTTGTAACTAATACACGTTGCTTCTATTATAATAATCCTTGCTACTGCATGTCTCCAAAATATTTCCATTCATGGTTTATCATAATTCAAGGTTCATACTCAGACACATAAGAGAGATAACATCACTATATTTATGTCCATGGACCAGAGTAAGTATAACATAATGTCAAAGAAATAAAAACTGAAAAATAAATTTTATTTGCAATTTTTTTGAAGAAAATATAATTATAAAACATTTTAAGGGACAGTAAATGGGAAAGTATAGTATAAAATTACTAAAGCAAATCTTCCTAAAATTATTTTTTTTCTCTCTCTCCCTAAAGTTCTTTTTTTCTGACGATCTATTTTATTCATCTGAAAAGCAGAATTACAGAGAGAGAGAGACAGAAAGAGATATCAATCTTCCATCCTCTAGTTCACTCCCCAAATGGCCACAATGGCTGGGGGTGGGGTGGGCAAGGTTGAAGCAAGTAGCATGGAACTCCATCCAGATGACCCCTGTGGGTGGCAGGAGACCAAGTACTTGGGCTATCTTCTGCTGCTTTCCCAGGCACATTAGCAGGGAGCTGGATTGGAAGTTGAGCAGCTGGGACTCAAATTGGCACTCATATGGGATGCCTGGGTGGCAGCTTAACCCACTGTACCACAATGCTGCCCCCTCTCTAAAATTCTTTCAACAACACAATATTTTTTCTATGAAACAACTTCTAATTTCTAGTGTTTGGTTTACTTTACTTTTGGTTTACTTTAATCCCTTTCTCCACACTCATTACATATGTAAGCAAATCGTTCTTACTTTTACAAACATACAGAGGCTAAAGATCCAAGATGGCTGAATAGTGAGACAATGTACTGACCACAGCCAAAGAAGGCTATGAGAAAACCAAAGGAAGGTCAACATTTCGAGGGAACTGAGAGAAATTTCCAGCCACAGCACCAGTTGCACCCTCCAAGCGGGACCTGAGGAAGGGCCCACTCACATCACACAGGCCTAGAGCCTTAGTAGTGTGTGCCACAAGCCCCAGTATGGCCCCCTTTGTTTCCCACAGTGCCAAGAAAAAGGCCCTGGCTGTAACAATCCCTAGTGTGACACCAAATTTTTAGGACTGAAGATACACACCCACCCTAGGAAGCCCACATTCACTTCAAAATCATACTCCTAAACCTATGACTAGACCACCATGTGTACTTTTATGACTCTCATTCTATACAGTACTGGAAATTTTAGTAAGAGCAATTGGGGAGAGGAGAGAAATAAAGGGTATAAAATTGGAAAGAAGTTAAATTACTCATGTTTGCAGATGACATGATGTTGTACCTGGAAAAACCTAAATGAACATTCCTCCAAAAAAGCTGTTAAAACTGATAAACCAATTCAGTAAGGTTGTAGATTATAAAATTAATATACAAGACCCAGTATCTTTTTGTATATATGAATGATGAACTTACTGAAAGAGAAATCAAGGAACAAATCTTACTTGTTGTAGCCATAAAAATAAAATATTTAGGAATAAATTTAACCAAAGAAATAAAAGATCTCTATGACGAAAATGATAAAACATTGATGAAAGAAATCACCAATGACCAAAAAATAGAGAGATATTCCTTGCTCATGTATTGGAAGGATATCATTAAAACGTCTTTTCAAACTAAAGCAATCTATAGATTCAATGCATACACTACCACAATACCAATGACATTCTTTACACAATTAGAAAAAAAAATCCTAAAATTCATGTGGCATCACAGAAGACCCATGATAGACAAGGCGATCCTGAGGCAAAAAAAAAAAAAAAAAAAAAAAAAAAAAAAAAATCAAGCTGCATGCATTATAATACCTGATTTCAAATCATACTACAAAGCTATAGTAATTAAAGCTGCATGGACTGGTGTAAAAACTGACACAAAGATCACTGGAATAGAGAATCCAGAAATCAATCCATGTACATATAACCTACTGATTTTTACTAAAGTGTCTAGACTATCCACTAGAGAAAAAATATCTCTTCAATAAGTGGCGCTAGAAAGTCTGGATGGATATATGTAGAAGAAAGAAATTAGATCTCTACCTCTCACAATATACAAAAATCAACTAAAGATGGATCACAGATCTAAATTTAAGACCTGAGATTATGAAATTACTGGAAGAAAAGGTAGGGGAAACACTTCAAGACATTAGTATAGGTAATTATTTCTTGGGCAAGACGCCCAAAGGCACAGGCAACAAAAGCAAAAATACAAATGGGATTATATCAAATTTGGAAGCTTCTGTAAGTAAATGAAACAATCAATAGAGTGAAGAGACACCCAGCAGAATGGATAAAAAAAAAAAAACATTTGCAAGCTACCTATCTGACAAAGAATTAATATTCAGAATATATCACCAACTCAAATATGTTAATAACCAAAGAACAACAAATCCAGTTAAGAAATGGGCAAAGACTCACAATAGACAGTTCTCAAATGAAGAACTACAAATGGCCAACAAATATGTGAAAGAATACTACCCACTGGGTAAAGAAGGCTAGCCATTAGGGGAATCCAAATCAAAACCACAAATAGATATACCTCACCCCTCTCACAATGGCCATTTTCTAAAAGACATATAGTAATAAATACTGGAGAGGATGTTCAGAAGGGGAAATTCTTATACAGTATTGGTGGGAATATAAATTACTGCCATCACTGTGGAAAAAGAGTATGGAGATTTCTTTATTTTCTTTCAGTACCAGTAAGTCTTAATATATTCACTGCATTTTCCCAGGGAAAGGAGAAGGGATAGGAATGTCAGCTTGTGTGTTACAAATATTTCTTTAAAAACTAGAGACAGACATGCCATATGACCCAGCTATCCCACTACTTGGTGTATACCCAAAAGACATGAACACACTGTATCAAAGAGATACCTGCAGCATGTTTATAGCAGCACTGTTAACAACAGCCAAAATATGGAACCAACCAAGGTTTCTATAATCAGATAAATGGTTAAATAAAATGTGCGTGTATACATACATACACACAACGGAATATTATTCAGAAATAAAAAAGAATGACATTCTAGCATTGGCATTAAAATGGATACAAACTGAAGGACATCATGTTGAGTGGAATAAGCAGCATACAGAAATATTAATATTGCCTGTTCTCTCTTATATGTGGGAGCTAAAATTAAAAAATGAAAAAAATAAAAAAGAGAAATGCCTTTGTGTCAGTATTGCTGCAAATATACTTTTGTCAAACTTTGTTTTGTATCTCTGTCAAACCAATGGTTAAGAGTGATATACTCGGGCTGGCGCCGTGGCTCACTTGGCTAATCCTCCGCCTTCGGCGCCGGAATCCCATATGGGCGCCGGGTTCTAGTCCCAGTTGCTTCTCTTCCAGTCTAGCTCTCTGCTGTGGCCTGGGAAGGCAGTGGAGGATGGCCTAAGTGCTTGGGTGCCTGCACCTGCGTAGGAGACCAGGAGGAGGCACCTGGCTCCTGGCTTTGGATCGGCATAGCTATGGCCATAGAGGACATTTGGGGGGGGTGAACCAATGGAAGGAGGACCTTTCTCTCTGTCTCTCCCTCTCACTGTCTGTAACTCTACCTGTCAAATAAATAAATAAATAAATCTTTAAAAAAAAAGAGTGATATACTACTATAGTTTTAATTATCTGTGATTATTTTAAAATTTACTGGATATGAGTGAAATGGACATCCTTCAGTTGATTACTATTTGTAGCTCTTGTCTATATTCCTGCTGAACTATGGTCTTTGTACTTTTTACTTGCTGAACTCTTTATTTAGTGTAGTAAGCCTTTATAATAATGTAAATTAAAAATCTGTTATTTCAGGAATTAAAAATGGGAGGAAAGAGGGAAAGAAGGAAGGAAGGAAGGAATAAGGAGGAGGGAGGGAAGTATCATATTCTTAGAACTGTATCTATGAAGTACATGCAGTCTGTTCTCTTTGTATTTATCCTATTAATATGAGAATTTATGAGAATTTTGTTGTAGTAATTATCATGCATTTGTTGTGACCCTCCTTAAGAAAAACTAAAAAAAAAAAAATAAGATACCTAAATGAAGATTAAAAATTTTAGGATTTAGTATCTTTCATTTTTTGGTTATATTCATTTAACAATTGAGGAAATTTAGGTTTTAAGACATTAAGTAATTATATTTAGAGAGCAACACTATCAGGATTACTATTGAGTTTGAGATAAACTCAAATATTACTGGAAGGCAGAGAAAGGATAGGGGCAAAGGTCTTACTTTGCACAGCGGGCAGGAGGAGCCTACCCATAAATAGAGCCTTCTAGTTTTAGAGATGAAGAAGACTGTGTAGATAGGAATGGATTTGTTTCCCAGCTCCCATTATGATGGCAAATCAAATTTTAACTAGACTTATAATACTTAATGTGTTTAACCTACCTTCTGTTGTAACTGGTAAAGAAATCTCCATGCAAGCAGCTGACTGTGCCTTTCGAAATGGTGGTCTTCCAGGACCCCAGCGATTTACTTTAGAAACATCAGCGCTAGAAAGCCGTTTTCCAGAACCGCAGCTCTGAGAAGTTGGACTTGTGCAGTGTCCATTTACATGGTCTATACCAAGGGGAGGAAGGCAGCATAAATATTACAATTAAATCTTATACAGGAATTTAAATGTATTGGTTAACAAATAAAGAGGAACAGGAATTTATTCCCAAACCATATGACTATGAGGAGGTCTTCCAAAAGCACATGGAAAATGTGTATTACAGGGTCCACACTATGGTGTAGCAGGTGAAGCCTCTGCCTGTGAACCTGGCATATGAGCACTGGTTCACGTCCTGGCTGCTTTAGCTCCAATCCAGCTCCCTGATAGTGGCCTGGGAAAGGCAGTGGCGGATGGCTCAAATGCTTAGGCTCCTATTACTCCCCCTGAGAGACCCGGATGAAGTTCCTGACTTTGGCTTGGCTCAGCCCTGACCACTCTGGCCATCTGGGGAGTGAACCAGTGGATGGAAAATGTGTACTATAAAAAACTACGCATGGACTTCAAAAATTTTTGGCATCAAAATAAGCTTACCTTTACATTTCATTTTCCATGAACTTTTTGAAGCACCTTTGTGTTTTCAAATTTAGTCATAATTTTAATAGTTAGCTGATAATTTCAGAAGATATAAAGTCTACAATTAATTGCTGTCATTTGACTAGTTAACATAATTTATAATTTATTCTATACCTCCACTACATATTTATCACTTAATAGCATTATGAAATAGATTATCATATTGGACTTCTTGCTGTATAATTTAAGTACACACCAGTTTATTTAAGTTTTGGAAGTCCTTTAAGTGCTTTTATTTAAAATGTAGAATGTAAGTATCTTATTGTGCAGTTTGGAGTGGTAGAATAAGAATACTGGTTCTGGAACTAGATTGTCTGCACTCAAATCCCAATTCTGCCACTTACCAATTCTATAAATTACTAAAGTTTTCATGCTTTAGCTTCCTTTATTGTAAATCTGGAGTATTATTACCTATCTCATGGAATTCTTGTGATACATGTATGTGTGTGAGAATACATATCACATGCAAGAGTACATGCTGGCAAAAAGCTGATTCTGAAAAAAATTTATTATTGTCATTTTTTATACCAGATTATAAAACTGTTCATGTCTAAGACAGCAGTACAGTTCATTTAGAGCTTGTGAGTTTTTCTCTGTTTTGATATACCTTAACAAACCTGGCAATGCACTAAAATATGTCTTGTTTTCCTTAATGGTAATAAATTGTATTTGAAACATTATCTTATAGCTCTGCAATATGCAGAATGTTTGTTAAAGCAATTAACACGCATTACAATGTGAGTCTTTGGTCATTCAAAGAATAATCGAGTTAATGGAAAAGAATCATGCTTAATGGCTATGTTGGCAAATGGGAAATGACACTCAAGAGTCACTCCATTATAACCTTTCTGTCTTAAAGTTTGAAAACCTAAAATCACATTTCCTACATCCCCTGCAAACTATTAGAAGGATGAAAATTTGTTTTCACCATTTAAATATGTGCTGAAATGTTCCAATTTTTAAAAAATTAGAATTTAACATTCATCAAATACTAAAACATTCATCAAATGCTGGGAATTTTATACACATTATCTTATTTAATCTTCATAAGAACTATGCAACATTGATGCTTTTATTATTATAGATATTGCAGATGAGGAAACTGAAGCTCAGAAAAAAAGGATTTGGAAAAATTCATCATATCATATAAGTAATAATAATGGAGTCAGGATTCTAATCCAGATTTTCTCACTTTGTAAACACTAGGCTACAGGGTCAGCTAAAAATTTGGAAAGCAGTAGAAATTTTAAAGACATATTTTGTAGAGTTCAGGAGGAACATAAAATTCATACAGATCTAAGTCTTTCAGAACCAGTCATCTCCCATACTGTTGTTTGTCTCAGAAATCCATGCTAGAGACAGAAATATCCCATGAGTTAGCCATGGGGAAGCTGAAATTGAAATCTCCATATCTCTTTCTCTATCAAATCTAGCTTCATAAATAAGAACACTGAAGTCAATATATAGAACTAATGACTTGGAAAATGGCAACACTTTGGGAATACAAATCTGTCCTTTCGGAAACAAACACTTTGTTCTAGGCTTCACCTCTTGTCCAGAGACAGAAAGCAGATTAGTGGTTGCCAAGCACTTGGTGGTGGTAGGAGGATTATCACTTACTAGATTTGGAAGTTGTATTTGAGATGATGAAAAAGTTCTGGAAATGGATACTAGAGATGGTTGTACAATATGGTAAATACACTTAATGTCTCTGGATTGTGTACCTAAAAGGCTTACAAGGATAAATTTGTTATCAATATTTTACTACATTAAAAAAACTCCAAGTTTATACCAGTGTCCTTATTGACTTTTCAGTGGCAAAATTATAAAGATCTAACCTTCCTTCCTCTTTACCCTGATTGAAATTGTGCAATAGACATATATATTAATGATGAGGGGGCAATATGTATAACTGTCCTAGTTAATAAAACTTCACAAGCTTACAGTATATCTGGGTTTTGTTACAGAGAAAAGTTCTCCAGAGTAAGCCATAGATCTCTGGATGTTGTGTTCCGCTTCCAGAAGGTCATGTGCAGCATGGTCCCAGACCCATTTATATACAAGATGCCCACTAGCCTCTGGAATAGCTAAACCAATATAGCATGGTCAGGGCTGGGCCAGACTGAAGTCAGGAGCCAGGAGTTTCATCCCAGTCTCTCATTTAGGGGCAGAGGCCCAATCACTTGGGTCATCTTCTTCTGCTTTCCCAGGTGCATTAGCAGGGAGCAGCGCTGGAAGTGGAGCAAGTGGGACTTGAACCAGTGCTCATATGGGATGCTGGCACTGCAGGCGGTGGCTTTCCTTGCTATGTCACAGAACAAGCCCCAATATATTTTATTTCTAACAAGCTTTATCAATTTTAAGACCTTGCTCTCTGGCCGTGCCAAGGCTTCAGTGGCTATCTGCATGGAATACGCCTGTCCACAACCTGTGGTATTGCAATGGGCAGAAGGATCCCCAAAGTTTGGTGTGGAGCAGCTTTTCCACCACAAATGAGAAACTGCCAAGCACAGAGACCGAGAAATTCCAAATTGTTTCCTGTTTTGATGCCATCAGAATCTTCAAGTACAAGTCTCTGCTAAAGGTGGCACAGACTGCCCTAACGGTGATATTCTTGCCATATTAATTCATGTTAAAATCATAAAATTAAAAATCCTTATTTATTTGAAGATGAGAAATGCTTATATTTTTGTTAACACGAGAAACAAGAATTTTTCAATAAATATAAAAATGTTAGACATACAGCAATTCCCCATGAATTTGGCAATCACCTCCTAAAATACTAACTACTTAAAGATTCTAAATGCTTAAGTATTCAACATATGAGGTTCTCAGTGTTACTACTTTTATTTTACTCTTATTGTTATACCATCATTCCAGGTAAGGATTACTGTAATAAAGAAGTTACATTAATATTCAAAGCTGTCCAACATGTAGTCATTTTTCCTTTGTCTTCTGTGAACAGCTCACATACATAGTTGCTAATATATTTATACAGATGAATCTTACCTATTATTTTGAGTTTGAAATACCCATGTAATCCTGCCTTACAGTTCTAATGGTTCACTGAATGTTTAACATGCTCCTTTAGCAACTAAAACTCATTTTCATTTTCTTTCAGACCAGGTATTCTCCATAAGAGCTAATTTCAACACTCTGTTACGTGTGCTTGACTCCTACTTCTTATGCTTTACCAGCTTTGGCTCCTAACTGTTCCCAACCTCATCAACTATAAATCTTTCATGGTAAATCCTTCCTTTCATTTTCATAGTTATAATAATTTAGGTCCTCATTTGACCTTTGCACAACCCAACTCCCTAAATTTCTTATTCATTCATGAATGAATTATAGATTATTAGAAAAGAATCCTTCTTAAAGCATGTCACAAGCCACCTACAGTTTATACCAACATTTTACAAAAGAAGAGTTTACATATACAGGCATTTATCTTCTTTCAAGAAACCTTCTGATTTTTTTCTGTAAATTTGAGGAAAATGTTTTTAAAAATGAAATTAGGGACTGGTGCTATGCTGTAGAAGTTAAGTCATTGCCTGCAGTGCTGGTTCAAGTCCTGGCTGCTCCACCTCCAATCCAGGTCCCTGCTAATACACTTAGGAACACAGTGGAAGATGGCTCAAGTACTTGGGCCCCTGCCACCCATGTGGGACCTGGAAGAAGCTTTGGGCTCCTGGCTTTGCCTAGTCCAGCCATAGCCATTGAGGCCATTTGGGAAGTGAACCAGCAGATGGAGTATAGATTTCTCTTTCTCTTTTCTTCTCTATGTGTTGCTACCTTTCAAGTAAATTAATAAATCATTCCAAAAAAATGAAATTACATTGACAATGTTATTTTTTAAAAAATATTTTATTTATTTGAGAGGCTGAGTTATAGAGAAGAAGTGGGAGAGACAGAGAGAAAGGTCTTCCATCCACTGGTTCACTCCCCAAATGGCCATAACAGCTGGAGCTGAACTGATCTGAAGCCAGGAGCCAGGAGCTTCTTCTAGATCTCCCTCACAGGTTCTGGGGCATGAGGACTTGGGCCATCTTTTACTGCTTTCCCAGGCCACAGGCAGAGAGCTGGATTGGAAGAGGAACATCCAGGACTCGAATCCATGCCCATATGGAAACTGGCACTGCAGGCAGAGGCTTAACCTACTGTGCCACAGCACCGGCTCTGACAATGTTCTTAAAAATAAAACTTAAGAATAATTAAAAGAGTCATTTTAAGTGCAAAAAGTCTTTACTCAAAGTGATAAGTAGATCATTTTCTTTTGTATTATTTCTTTTTCTTTTGTAAATTTTCATAATCCATCCTAGCTTAAATTATGCATGAAAATAGTGAGTATTAATCAATCAGGAGGAATGGACTTGGAGTTTTGTCATCTATAGATAACAGTGACAATTTTTATAAATAACAACACGACTAAGAGACGAGACTTCCATATACAAATTATAACTACAAGCTATCTTTGCCACTTATAAATTCAAGA